ATACCAGTATTTATTCTTCATTATAGTCTACTAAAAAAAGAACAAAAATAGTTTTGTTTTAAAAGCATGGTTGAGTAGACTTAATTTATTTAAACATTAAAAAAAGTTTAAAGAGTAATTATGTAGCAAACTTATAAAAGTGGAGTATTTCTATGAACAGTCTAATGATTACCATAAAAATTCATCTACTTTTAGCACTTTACTCCATAATTACTACATAATTCAATATGTCATAAAAAGGAATATATTGATTAATCAAGTACTGTTTGTTTTTAACTACATTGCAAACTGTAGTATCTCTGTATTCTAAAACAAATGTGAACACAGGTAATTTTGTGTTGTTGTTTTTTATGATGCTATTAATATTTAGTTTACTAGTTTCTTTAACATTAGGCATTGTCTCACATTTTCATGACCAAAAGAGATACACACCTTTTCTAGTGAACATATGCTCATTACAGAATAGAGACAATGCATGCTTGTAAACATACAAACACGAGGGTTACACAACATGCAGGATCATATTATAACATGCAAAACATGCACACACAACATATTACAATGATCGTGCAAAAGGTTGTAGACAAGATGAAGGCACCAACTTGTCTTTCCTTTTATTATAATTTTTTTTTTCTTTAGCCAGCAACAGACCATGGATGTCACATACCTCCCAAGTGTCCCTATTTAGGAGGGACAGAACCTTTTTTCCCCCCCAAATCCATTTGTCACTCTTTCTATATTAATGTCCTATGTCTGAAGAAGTTCAGTATTCTTGGCATATATGAGTTTACACCAGAGTTACACTGCAATAATATAATATATAATATAAATCAGTCTGTGTAAGATACATTGTTCTTATTCTTAATTAAATTTCAATTGCATCATTTGTTATTAGTCAGTCCCCAAAAATGTCTCAAAATAGTTTCACCCCTGGCGACACCAACACTCGCACCCTTAAAGTATCCCTCTTTGTTCATTTAAAATGTTGGGAGGTATTGCATCATATATTTTTGAATAAAAGCTAATAGCAATGCCAATTTAAAACTGCAGCAAGCAGAATTAACATTGCACTGGATGTCATAGTGACTGCTTCACTTTTAGATCTTTTTATACATAATCCTTTATGAGCCATCATGTTGCCTGTTATTAAAAATGAAGTAAAACTTTAATAAGATATCAATGAAGGAAGTCATTGGCATGAAATAAAGCAAAGAAAAGGTATGTGCCGCTACCCCAAATAAGGGAAAATAAATTTTAAAAAAAATTTGATAAAAACTAATGAATGCCATAATAATCAGCAGTGATAGGAAATGTAGCTAAGAAATCTCTGCACTGGGCTTCAAAAATGAGAGGGGGGAGAGCAAAATTGAAACTGGGGACTAAACATGTTTCACATCACTACTGGATGCTTTCTCAAGATGTTGAGAAAGCGTCCATTAATAACGTGAAATGCATTCATTTCCCAGTTTTCTTTAATTTTTGTGTGTGTGTGTGTGTGTCAGTGTGTCTGCCTGTCTGTCTGTGAGGATGTCTGTGTCTGTCTGTTTGTTAGTGTCTGTCTTTCAGTGAGTATGTGTGTGTCTGTGTCAATGTGTGTGTGCGTGTCAGTGAGTGTCTGTGTGTGTGTGTTGGTCAGTGTTGCATTGGCTGCGACTGGACAGTGGAGTGCCTGGAGGTGCATGGAGGCAAGAAACATCACGTCAAATTTCCGACGTGACATCGAGGTGCTCCACCTTCACAGGGTTTCAAGAAGTAGCCGGAGGAATAGATTTGGCACAGGGTGAGGACGGCGCCATTTGGGGTATACCAGAGGCCGGACTTCGGAGTCACAGCGGCAATGTGAGTGGAGTCTGCTTGTTGGCTAGAGGGGGAGGACTGGGATTTAATATTTGGGGGGACTGGGATTTTGTAGGAGGGGGCTGGAATTTTATAGAGGGGGGATGCTTGGGGGCTTTTTTATACTGTACTTTTCAAAATAAACCTATGGTTTTTTTTAAAAAAAATTAAGTTTTTTGTTTTTTTTGCAGCCCACATAAACTTAAACCTTGTTTATGTGGCCCATGCTAGATTTTGAGTTTGTCATGCTTGGTCTAGTGAATCATTTGTTTCCTGCTTCTTTTGCAACATTTTGTATACCCATTTTCATTAGTTTTTATCAGCAAATTGTTATTGTCCCCTCCCTTATTTGTGGTAGTGGCACATAACTCTTTTTTGCTTTATTTCCCATCAGTGAAGGAACTCATGATAAGAAATGCTATTGAACCCTCTCTTTTTATCAGTACACATTTATTTCCTGATAAAATAAGGAAATATAGGCTACTATACTTATATATTGTAATCCTACTTTTCTATCCCCACTCCCTCCGACACTGTTATTGGTGTAGTAAGAAGAAGAAAAGATATCTTGGGAATTAAAAACCTAACTTAAAGCATGCATTGCATTTAAACTAGCAATGCACATTTCAGGATACTAGAAACCTGTTATGTATTTATATCAGAAAGACCAGTAAATTATGTACTTAAAAGATTCCAAATATAAACTCAGTCACACAAATAATGTATCCCATGCCTGTAAAATATCACATAACTATTTACATTTATTGACAGTCCTTAAATTGGTTAGCTGAGTATGTGACACAAAATACTGCCAAATTCATGGTGACCATATCCACCATGTTTTCTGGGACACATATAATTTTGTCATATTTATGAAAACACATAAAAACAGGTTGTCTTGCAGTATGTATAAAACATATTATGCAGGTTTCTTCATTCCCTGATTGCTTAAAGGAACACTATAGCCTTAGGAATACAAATATGTATTTCTAACGCTATAGAGCGCTAGTCACCTAAACGGTGACTAGGGCCTCTTCCGAGGCGAATAAATGGTAATGAACCATTTATTTGCTTACCTTTATTAAGCGCCAGACTCCCTCGGTGTTGGTGACCTCTCCTCCATTGACGTCAGCTCCCGCCCTTAGGAAAGCAGAGACAGTCAGAGAGACAGTCACTAGAGGCTGGATTAACCCTGCAGTGTAAACATAGCAGTTTCTCTGAAACTGCTATTTTTTCAGCTGCATGGTTAAAACTAGGGGGACCCGGCACCCAGAGAACTTAATTGAGCTCAAGTGGTCTGGGTGCCTACAGTGGTCCTTTAATCTAATATTTCCTTCTGAATTCTATATACTACAGGACTACTTTTTTTGTGTGCTGCCCATCAATATGCATACTTGATATGTACCCCTGAAAACATGGTGGAGATCTGGTCACCCTAGTCAAGTTCCACATAGGTGACTATTACTTACTTCATGTTACTAACATTGTTCAAATTCATATTATGCTTTTATCGGCACTTACAGGAATACTGAACCTTCCACAGTTTAAAACTTATGTTTCTTTACTCGTCCCTCCCAATCCACCCCCCCCAAAAAAAAATAAAATAAAAAAAATTAAAACTTGCCCAATCAAATATAGTGATTACCCAATAGAATGGTTCTGATAGGAAAGCATTAGATTAATGCTCTAACTTCCTCATTAAGCTGAATTACTTAATGGTCTAGAGCAGGGGTCAGCAACCTATAGCACTCAAATTGCGTGTCAATAATGGGTGTATGTCAATGATGAGTGTGTTGGTTTCTGTGTGTTTGTGTATCAGTGTCAATGAGATTCTGTTTTTGTGTATAAGTGTAATATATATAAATATAATTGTGTATCTATTATAAACATACATTGATTATATATATAAGGGGAAACAAACTGCATTTTTACCTGTGTGGCCAAAAATTCTTGCACCGCCCCTGATTAGTAATATCCATTTGAACCAAGTTTGGATCACAATCATTGGCAGTGTTAGCCAATGGCTTTAGCCAATGAATGCCATCCAAAAGCAAACTACATTGATATCGCCAATATCTGCATTAGTGATACTGAACAGCAAGAAAGCAAGGGGCTGGGCCACAGTGCCAAACCATTAAATCTTTCTTTTACACATATCTCAGGGGCAGGCATTGGTTAGTTTTGGCACCATAACCAGCACAACAAGCTATAGTAGTTATGTTGCCTAATGTACCCTTTTAAGCCTCACAGTGTTATGACTTCTAATGGTAACAATGTAAAAACGTGTTAGCGATACATTATGACATGCAAACCCTATAAAAAGGTTTTTTAATTTGTTACTATGTACAAGGATCTAAAACTGTTTCTTTTGGAAAGTCCCATGGTTGAATCATCTGGTTGCAAGCTATTTTATCACAAAATCTGCCCTATCTGTGCTCCGTTGCCTTAATTTGTTCCGTATGATCATATATATTCAAAGTTACAACAGCAGATATCCAAAATAACACTGGCAAAAAAAAAAGAAAAAAAGAAAAATAGAAAACAGATTTTATAGCTAATTATTTTGGGGTCTATCCATAAAGACATGACCACGTTTTACAAAAAAAACTAATTCTTAAGATAATGCACTAATATGTAAGGAAATGTTTGGACAATAGCTGGTTTGATCCAGTAACAAAAAATATATAGGGGAAATTAAAGGTTTTTTTTTTTTGCTTTTGTTTTCTTAAGTAGATGCATTTCTATTTGCCTTTAGATCATTTTGCTCTATAGAACTTACCTTTATTCCAATGCTGGAATAATTACCTCACTGCAGACTGACTTCCGTGAAGGCATCAATTTGGATGAATCATAAATGACACGTGGCAGTAATTGCTACAATCTGGCAATTCAGTGCTTCTCTTTGCATGCTGATGCCATACATGAAACAAATTACTTTTTTTTTTAAAAGATATAATTGTGGTGGGAGGACCTAGTGGTTATCTGCCTGATAGACAATAGTAAGGGTGGACATCGCAAAATATACAGTCACGTTAAGGAAGCATACAATAAAAATAGCAAGTCGCTAACAGTTGTGTAATTTTCATTTGTTTATTGTAGACTACTTTAAAATAGTACATTCCATTTAAAATATATTCATATATGAATAGTGCAGTGCAATTGGCTGGGTTATTGACCCGTTCTGTGCGGATCCAGTTTTTTTACAATTATTTTAACAATATATAATTGTTAAAATAATTGTAAAAAAACTGGATCTGCACAGAACGGGTCAATAATCCAGCCAATTACACTGCACTATTCATCTATTCATTTTCCATTACAGTTGATTAACAAAGTAAGAAATAAAGTGACTGGCTGTAAAACAGTTCTTTTACGGTTAGTCACTAAAGTGAGAATTTAAAATTATTTCAAAGAATTTTAAATTTAAGGCCAAAGTAAGTGAACGGATAGCATAGCTGAGCTGACTGGCTAGAGCAAACTGACCCTTCATCTGGCTGTTTTTAAGGCAGTGCATAAGGATCATTGGAATTAAAATTCCTTAAATATGTTTGCGCTTCTACATACCCAGATGATATACTTTTCAAAGTTATATTTTTTTTACTTGTTGCTCCAAAATTAAACTTGTTGCAACTTCTCCAAAATAAATAATGGCTTTTTGATGGCACATTAACCTAACAATTTTCATGTTACCTACAAAATAATTAAAAAATAACATTTTATTAAAGGATGTGTCATGGCCCCCATGTACTCTCCTTACCCAAATCTCGACTTCCACATGGTTACACACGTGGGCATCATTGTGCCAAGTACTGATATTGTGACATCTAAAATGGCCATCACATATTTATGCAAAACAGGTGTCAAGGCAGAGGTGATGCAGGGAATTTCTGCGTGACTACCGGACACTGGGATTGTCCTGTCTGTATAATCTGAGTGGTAGGGGAGTGCCTGACCTTACGCATAGGCCAGATTCTGATTATAAGACTCTAGAGTACACCTGGACTGATGCTTGGTTATTCAGATGCTGTTGTTCCACAGATTAGTGTTCTGAATCATGTGGGTCATGCCGGCATACCCTTATCCTGCCCTCCCTATTCCTGATCTGCTACTTGATCTCTGGCTCCATTTCTGGACTACGGTTATTTATGTATGTCCTTGATTCCTCCGATAACTTCTTTTATTTGAGATTCTAAGGCTTTGAACACCCACAAAAAAAAGTTTTTACTTTTATTTTAAATTATAAAACATGTTTCATATATTATATATTTATTGACAAAACGGATTTTGCATAACAATAGGAAAATGGCTACTCTGCACATAGAATCTGAACAAATGACCTCAGAGGAGCGATCCTCTCCCTGAAAGTCTGCTAAAATAGCATGTGTGCAGATATGCCTAGCATTACAACCAAACCACTGCACAATGGTCTACTTCCAGTCTCCACATATCCTCTGGTGGGACATCAGACAGCTTCTTCAGCTAACGTTCTGTGAATGCCCATGAACAACATGTAATGATCTGTCAGATTTCCATTCACCAGGCTGTCATAATCACAGTTCTTATTAAAACCTTAATGAAAACAATATGTTCTGTAGAGCAAAGCAAAAAACATTGGTTTTCTTTTTTACTGCTATAATGTCTGTGTAGACACATTAAGACCTATTTTTTTTCAATTTTCGTCAGCTGTCATGAGAATCAAACTGACCACAAAACAGTCTGGAGAAAGCAACCAGTGATTTAAAAAGCTAGTGTATTGCACGCATTCCTCTTTAAGGTACGCCATTTAATCTCGTAAAACGCCAAAATCAACACTGTCTGACAACTCATGTCACAGTCATAGGCCAACAGGTCAGGGAGAAACACTCAATCAGAGCATGAGTTCTAAATAAGGACAGAAATCTACATATAAAAGGCCACACAAAGTACTCCACTGTATCTGCTTATTCTCTATGCGAAATAAACATTCAAAATATACTACAAATATATCTAGGAAAGTATAGTACATATATGTATATTTATATTCTTTCTTGACATGTATCTTATTGAGGGATTATGTCTTCTGTATCAATGTCTGAAAAGCAACATATACCTAATAGTTAGAGCCATGGCTTTCTGATTCTAAGGCTCTGCAGACCACCAGAGAGCATCAGAACCTGGTGGGGACCCATGTCATATGGAAAACGGTTGCTTAATGGCTTGCCCCATTATTGGGGACCCGTGTCAGGGTATGCCTGGCATCATAACCACTACAGCAGGCTATAGTGGATATAAATGGGATAACCATTTAAAGAAGGTCAGTTAGCAAAATATTTTTGCAGGACTTGCAAGAAATGTAAACATCTGCTTATATTTTGTAAATATGACTATGTGTTTTTGGTGGGGGTGCTGCTGAGGAGGAGTTGATTGGAACCCAGTGGACCCCAGATATGTTCTCACTCCATTCACAAACAACTTACTCTTGGAGGGCACCAGGGGTCTCTTGGCACCATACCAACCACAGTGAGCTGTAGTGATATGTTCCTTGGGATATTCCTTTAAAATGAAATGAAAATGTACAGTCAATGCATTCATTTCAGTGCTTTTTTGAAGGAGAAAAAAAAATAAGATGTCTAGGTATGTAAATCCTTCTATAGGTGTTTGGATAATGCATACATGCTTTTCTACATTATCTGTCCAACCTTGGATCTCAATGATAAGATACAAGAGATGGACCAACCCTACCGAGCCCAAGACTGCATACATAATGCAATAGTTCACTTCCTCATTATCCAAGCCACAGCAAGGGCTAGTTTTTAGTCAAATCACTCAAACATAGTTTGATCAATGACTAAACCATACAACAATGTGGGATGGCTTTGCCCTATGACTCTGCACCAAGACTCTGGAGCAGTAATGGTGCTTAGAATGCCCCTTTAATATTTATTTAGTAATGTAACGTTTCTAATGTTCACTTAAAATAAAACTCCAAATTTCACCGACCAATATATTGTAAATGATTGCCGTTAGAATAGATTAATTAGAAATCTAATATAAACAGTGTTTTTTTTTAATATATTTTAAATAAAAAGATGGGTGGAGTACTGTCTTGCAGTTGTTTAAAATGGAGCTTACTGTCTATACTTCTGTGCACACTCACTTTGATTAAAGTGGCTCTATTTCTTAATATAATCTTTATGAAATACTCACATTGACACATCATATTGACACATGGTCTATGAAGGCTCCTATGGTCTTGTAGGATGCTCCATAGACTTCAATCATGCAATCTTGTACTTACGGAAAAGTGCAGCACTGATGCGGCTCCTGACAGATTAAGTGGAGATCTCAAAGCTATTGCAATGAGTCAACACTACTTAAAATGACTTGATCAGGATGACCCTAATCCTGGATAAAATTTGAACAGATTCTGTGATTGTTGAAGAGACAATGTAGTATCTCCTCAAACTGAAGTAATAGGTTTCAGCTAATTTCTCCAATGATTCTACAGTATCCAGTTTATACAGATTATACATGTTAGTGTTCCTTCAAATAAGTAACTATAATGCCTGTATGGCTTTTTAGCCCAATATTTGAGATGTATGATTATGCTTTGTTGGGTAAAATTAATTAACTTTAATTACAATAATAAAAGGACAACAAATTGCTAAATTGGTGAGCTATTAGGATGTGTTTTTCACATCATAGAGAAAGCTCCTCTTGTTATAAAAGCTTAGAATGTTATATGCCATTCTCTTTTATCTGTGGGGCAGGAAGACACTTGACGAGAAAGCACCATTTGTTATGTTAATATCCTCAATACTTTAGAAATAACTGGCTTAAGAATGCAACCATTGGTTATATATTGTTCACTTTCTATGATCAAGGTTATAAGGTATACATACTAAAGGAAAGAAAAGATAGTAGGGTCTTCTCTAAAGGGGATCCAAGTGGAACAAACTTTAAGGGAGAAGAAAACATGAATTGTATTAAATATTGTTATGGTTTATACGTTCATGTTTCACTAAATCAAACAATTAAAAATACAAATATCTCACTGATTTAAGATGCACACATAGTCATTTGGATAAGAAAAAAATAGTAGGCAAAATAGATATGAGAAGCCCTCCAAACTCCTATATACTGATTGCATGGAAAAATCCTTTATTAGAAAAAGGAGGGGGAAAAAAGGAAATATCTCCAAAAACTATTAGAAAAGAGACTGGGAATACATATATATACTACCAAGCCTCAATAAGCAAACCAGTAACCAACCTCATGCTCATGATTTGTATTTACAATGAAACAGCTGTCCATGAGTGGTTCTCTGGCTTTGTATCTTTTCCTAAGTTGTGTTTCAAAGCTGTTGTATACAGCAAACACAGACTCAAATGAATCCATGTTTAAAATGGAATGAGGCAAAAATGTGATTTTTTTGTTTGTTAAACTAATCCTTTGCGGTAGTAACATCACTGCAGATTTGTGATTTCTGTGGGAAAAGCAAGTCTTATGGCTTGACTGGTGTGCAGATTTTTGTTTAACATTGTATTAACCATATATATGTATTAAGTAAATATGCATATTCTAGTAGTTATAGTCTCATATATATACAGTGAGGGAAAAAAAATAATCAATCCCCTGCTAATTTTGAACGTTTGCCCACTGACAAAGAAATGATCAGTCTATAATTTTGATGATAGGTGTAGTTTAACAGTGAGAGACAGAATAAAAAATAAAGAAAAGAAAATCCAGAAAAATGCATGTCAAAAAAGTTATACACTGATTTGCATGTCAATGAGTGAAATAAGTATTTGATCCCCTATCAATAAGAAAGATTTCTGGCTCACAGGTGTCTTTTATCCGGGTACAAAGCTGAAATTAGGATCACTCTCTTAAAGGGAGTGCTCCTAATCTCCACCCTTTACCTGTATAAAAGACACCTGTCCAAAGAAGCAATCAATCAGATTCCAAACTCTCCACCATGGCCAAGACAAAAGAGCTGTCCAAGGATGTCAGGGACAAGATTTCAGACCTACAAAAGGCTGGAATGGGCTACAAGACCATCGCCAAGCAGCTTGGTGAGAAGGTGACAATAGTTGGTGTGATTATACGCAAATGGAAGAAACACAAAATAACTGTCAGTCTCCCTCGGTCTGATGCTCCACTCACTTCGTGGAGTTTCAATGATCATGAGAACGATGAGGAATCAGCAAAGAAATACACGGGAGGATCTTGTTAATAATCTCAAGGCAGCTGGGATCATAGTCACCAAGAAAACAATTGGTAACACACTATGCCATGAAGG